TTATTGTGTGTTAAAGATGACTTTTTAAATCAAACATTCTGTTTTTTTGTGCATTTCGTCGCACTTGTCGAGATATTTTCCCGAAAGCAGTAAGGAGAGGCAACGAAGAGCACTACAGGAGACTCACCTGCAGTCGCTGATGCGTCTGCTGCATCGACAACCCCCGTGATTCATTCACTCACCTCGCTCATCTTGGAAAGGTGATGTTGATGTTGAGTTTCCTTCTCTTTCTGTGCGTCTCCGGAAGGTCCAGCGTCACCTTTTCCCGCTCTTCTTGTTATTTGGCGCGAGTATGAAACACGGCGAGATGCGAGACGGAGTGATGTGAGGAAAGAAATCCAGCGACGCGGCGCGAGCAGGGAAGAGCAGTGCGGCTGTAAGTGTGTGTGTGTGTGTGTGTGTGTGTGTGTGTGTGTGTGAACCCCCTCCTTCCCTCACCCCTCCTCTCGCGCTTCCCCACCCGCCCACTCACGCGCACTGAACTGCGAGGACATTATGTGGTGTATAGACCTATTCAAACGAAACACTTGGTGCAAAAAGTGTTTTGGAGCGAATGCATTAACTATTATGATTTCACTTAAAAGTGCACATTTTTTTTTGTTTTATTGTTAGTATTATCATGGCTTTTATTAATGACATAGAATGTATAGGGTTGAAAATCAACCCCCATAGTCTTTCCACTTTTAATATCCTGCAGGAAATCCATCACAGTCCAACTCATTAATGTATGCCATCTTCACAACACTGATTAAATACTTACTGTAAACGGTGGAAGACATAATTCTCCAACCTACTTATTCAACGATGCTAATGCAGGTGAATATTCTTATACATTTTACATAGAATATGAACGCCACATCCAAATGTTTTAAAGAGCTTAGAAGAAAGATGAAAACACGTATGACCTAATATGAGCTATTCTAAAATGTAAAATGTACTGAGAACCAGCCAAAGTGTGTGCAATTTTACTTCACATTGTCTGTAGCTCAAACACACAGATTTCCAGCTGCAGCTGTAACATCCTCGATTCGCGAATGAAGAAACACAGATGTATGGCGCCCCTGTCTGGTCACTCGATATATAACAGCTTTAATTGAGAAGACCTATACTGTAAATACATCACACATCACTGTCATTTTTGTTTACACTGCACTTGAGAGATCCCAGCCTGCCAGGCCTTTGAGAGTATGGAGTATGATGAGAAAATTGTTAGAATGTGGGTAGTTAAACATATATATATCTAAGATTCTACAGACTTCTCTATAGATGACGTAAAAAAAAAAAAAAAAAAACTTGTGGGTCTCTTTGTGCGGTGAGTATCTAAATGTAAATAAATAAAACTACATATGGCTTACAACTATTTACTTCACCCGCCGAAATAAGGAATGAAGCTAATGTACAAAATCTGCAACCATCATTTAGTCAGCAAATTTAAACAATAAAGTAACTGATTAATTTCAGATTGCAAAAAGTATACATAAGAAAACATATATTCAAACAAAAAATACAACATGGTAAAGAATCAGAAAGACAGAAATTACTTAAATCTGAAAAGTGTTTTTTTTAAGCAAAATGTAACTGTATTTAAACACATTATGTAAAATTACATTATACAGTATATTCATTTACATTGGACGCTTTATATAAAGTTGGATAGTTAAGAATGACCAACTGTATCTGCATACATACAGTACACTCACGTAAAGTGATATATGGTGAATCTCAGTTGTCTGATTGTTTATATCATCTCAAAAAGTAACTATATCAAGTTACATTATTATAATATATTATGAAACTAAAAAGGCATGATAATAACATCATGGCTTCCTGTAAAGCTGCTTTAAAAAAAAAAAAAACTCCTAAAAAGCGTCTGACTTTGACAATGGATTGCAATCTGGCAATCTCTTCAAAGTTTTGAGATTATCTGCATATTATGAGTTAATCAGTACCTCTGCACTGCCATCTTCATAAGTTTCCTCTTCCTCTTCTTGAACTTCATCACTATCTTCTTGAACTTCCTAAGCCGGAGGAGGATTCACTCTGAGAATTTGAATTGCCAGAAATACTCTAATCAGAATACATGTCCATCCAATCCATGCAGGCAGAGCTACTCCCAATCCCATTACTAACGTGGCCACATACATGCTGCCAAGCTGCTTTACAGTCTCAGGGATGGTATTTCTCAAATTAGTTATGTTAACCCGCTGCATGATGATTTTTAAAAGAATGCAAAAGCCTAACGGTATCAACATTGACACTGCAAGTCCTTTAAGCAGAACGACTTTTCCATGTGTACAGTCAAAGCTACGGCCAGAGATGCTCCTGTTAACGCCCATGCAAAGATCAGCCCTCCTTTAGCCTCCATCCCTGGGTTTTGAGCTCTCATTGAAACAGCTATACCAAATATGATAGCGAGAGCAAGTGTTCACAAACAATATTGCACAATATTTTATTTCAGCCCAAGTGCCTAAATTATTTCAAAGTCAACGGTGAAGGGTGCAATTTGAACAAACAAGTAGTACCGCCCTAAACTCACACCATATTTGCTGTCCAATGTTTTGAAAGTTACACTATTCACAAAGTCAACCTTAATGTGACTGCATGTAAAACTGGGGTACGTGTATTTTAATGCCCCAGAAATTACACACTTCACCTCCTACATGGATATATCAGTATGGTGACCATTTATTTCCAAGCACATGCTTTATTAAAGCACACACACACACACACACGCACGCACGCACAGACACTCACTCACACACACACACTGACATCTCAACAAAACCCAGGATCAGATACAGAGACGTACAGAGCAGTTTACCAAAGAATACAAAGTGAAACAGTAGGGGCTAAGTGCTTTTGGTGAGCTTACAAAATACTTGAGGAAGTGCTCAGGACAGAAGGCACAGTGGCTTGACTGTTATCTCAAAGGAACACCACATCAGGGGCTACCGAACGCATTAGATAATCTACACACGAAACAAGGACACGATAACGCACGTATTAAGGCCAGCCTCTGTCAATCTCCGGACAAAAGTGCCGCCTACTTGGTGTCTAACGATAAAAAATTAGATGACCCGATGGAAATGATTTCACAGAGTTGGACGAGGAAAGTAGATCATCATTTGTAAGATGTGCTAATTTCACATCAAAAATGCGACACGATTACATCAAATCAAATTTGGCAAGCAGATCAGTCAGACTGACAATGCTGATACTGGGACATGTCTTGGACACAGCATCAGCTTATAAATATATTCGCAATCACTGAAGTTTCAAGATCATCAGGCAAGCTTTAACATTGATTGTGTGTCCGAACGATTGATTTGTTGATTGGTGAATACATAAACACATCATTTAAGGGAATGTGAATTGAATCTGCAGCATTGTGAAGAAATGGTCTGGGGGAAAAGAACAACGTTTGGTCTGCATTGAAAGGCGAAAGGAAAGGAAAAGAAACTTTGCACAGTGCTCTAAAGACATTCTGAAGCAGTCTTCTTTCATAATTATTATAATACTTATTACTATTCTCCATATCCGTTTCCATTAACACTTCTTAAAAGGAAAACAATTTTTTTTTCCCTCTTTTTGATCTCTTATCTTTACAAAAGCTACATATGTTCTACTGGGATGTCTGAATTTGTTAGTGTGTGTGTTTTTTCTTTTTTTAGTTTTCGATATTTAAAAAAAAATGTCTACTCACGTCTAAAAAAAAAAAAACAGCTTACTGAATGTTTTAATAGAGACCCACTTTCCAACCTCTCTTGGATGGTTTGAGAATCTGAGATATTACAGGAATATGAAGGATATATTGCAGAGTCTCCATTTTCTAGATTGTGATTCATTTCTGACCCTGAAATTACACTTTCCGTAGTAACTGTGGTCTGGATTCCACCCGGAAATCCTGGTGGTGGTATTTGCAACGTAAACACTTCCATAGGGCCCTTGTCAAACGGCAAAGCTGTTCCCACATGTGGTGCTCTGGGGTCATTCATTGTTTCATTCACAGCTGACATAGTCACACAAACTGCCACCATATTGTCACAGAACTCTACGCTCTAGCACAACTACGCATATATACTGTATATATTCACTGTAACTATATTCCTGTGTTGCTGAATCTGCTAAAAAACCTTTTACATCAACAGGCACTGAGAGAAATAGCATATAGAAGAGGCAGAATCTCTGTTTCATATAATATCTGAAGAAGACCCGTCGGAGCAGACTGGCTGTGTGTGGATATCTGGTAATATAATCTTTCCTCTGTCCTGTTGATTCACAAGTACCGTTCAGTTATCACAGCATTCTGTTCAGAGTCTGGCAGGTGCATGGTAAGAAGTGTGCTCACTCCTTTGGTTTATTGAAGACGTGCAGTCAGAGCAAGTTCACGTGGAAGTAGGATGTCCGTCTCTCTCAGCATTAATACTGTATATCGTAGCGATTAAGAACAGTGTCTCTTTTTTGCTTTTCCGGCTCCCCAGATTGACATTCCAGGTCCTCGTTGAGATGAGAGCAAGATTTACAGGAGCAAGGAAATTGTAAATGAAATACACCTTGGCAATTGTGTTCACTGACGAGAAGACAGGAACAAGAGAACAGTGTTCAAGAAGGCCCAGAGACGGGCAGGCTTAGACTAGCATACAATACTGGATATCTCTGTGTGATTAAGAGTCTGTGTGTGTATGTAGAGGTAATCGATCACTAACCAAGGGGGCTAGGCGGATATATTAAGGGGAATGTTTGATTTAAATACTTTTGCAGGTTATCTGTTTACTGATACTGTACAGAATGTTAGCATAGCGACTGGTCTGCCCTTGGTTTGAATTCCCCGTTGAAAAACCAGCATATGTTGGTTAGGTATGTTTTGAAGCTTGGCAGCTGGTTTATGCTGATCCTTAGTTGGTCATGAGCTGGATTAAACTGGTCCCGAGCAGGAGCTAGTTGCTTTGGACCAGCACATGACCAGCTTAAACCAGCTCAGGACCAACTAAGGACCAGCTTAAACCAGCTCAAACTAGCTGCCATACCTAACCCGAAAATGCTGTTTTTTTATTCAACAGGGTTGTACGAGGGACCCTGGGCAACTATTTCCCAAATATCTCTCCCCTGCCGCTATGTCCAAACTAGTGTTGTCAAAAGTACCGACTTCGGTACCAGTCGGTACTGAAATGTTAAAAACATTCATTTCCCGCTAACATTTGAGTGCTATTGAGCTGATTCTTAAACAGCACTGATTGGCCATTGTGTTCAGCGATGATCTTTGTAGCCAATCACAATCATATCTGTTGAGCGCGTTTGAACACAATGGCCAAGAATCGGCTCATCAGCACTCAAACGTTAGCGGGAAATAGACATTTTTAAAACTTCAGTACTGACTGGTACCAAAGTTGGTACTTTTGACAACACTAGTCCAAACTCATCCAGGGCTCTTGTTTGATGTTATTTCCCCAAGACACCTTCCTCCTCCTTGAGCAGATCCTCAGCCGTGAGGTCTGATGAAACAGACCCAGCCCTTCTGCTCTGATTCTGGGGTGCATTTCCAAAGCTGCCATTTGCTTCCAGGTCATCCTCCTCCTCATCGACTTGCTCATCTTCCTCGTCCAGCTCCTCTCTCATTTTAAGCCCCTTCTTACCAATGCTTCCCACAGGTCCAGGGGCCAGTTCAAAACTGTCCTCTGTGTCCCTGTTCTCTGGGCTGAATCCATTCTCAGCTCTTGTCTTTGACAAGACCCAATCCTCAGGAGATGCTACTCCGTCCTCTGCACCGAGGAACTTCCACAGAGCCAGCGGATCGCGGTCCGGCCTGGCCAAAGTTAGTCTTGGAGAATGATTGGTGGAAGCGAGAGGGGCTCCCCTCTTGCGACGAGACTTGCTGGTGTGATTAACCTGAAGGTGCATGGCCATAAGCTCAACAGAAGAGGTCCGGAAGGGACAGAAGACACATTGATTGAGGATGTCATTCCCTCCTTTAGAGCCACCTGACGGTCCACCTATAGAACTGCTCACTCCCCCTTCATCTTGTAAAGGGCGGCGGGAAAGGTCCAGAGGTTCAAAGCCTCCTTCCTGGGACCCACTGGACTTCATCCCGCCCTGGTAGCCATTTGCTGACATCATGCGGCTTGTAGTAAGGGGTTTCCGTCGAGACACTTTGGGCATTTTCGGAGGTGGCACCTCCCCAATCCAACTTGGTTCTAGACCACCGGCAAAGAAAGTACCCATCATCCCCGACAGACTGTGATACTGACTCTCCACGTCTCCCTCTCTTTGACGTCCAGATGCAGTAGTGCCCTCCTTCTTCTCTGGCGGGCTTGCAGCCCATGACCGACTGTGCCTTGAAGAAGGAGCCTCTCCAGGATCCCTCCCAAAAGAAGACTGGGACATGGAGGGGTGACGGCGCTTTTTCACCACTTCATGAGGAGAGCCAGTCAGAGAGGGGAGGCTCGGTGGTGGGGAATTTGTGGTGGTTGCCATAGCGTTCCTTTGCTCACGATGATGACGTTGAAGGTGGTACTTGAGAGAGCCAGACTGGGTGCCAGCATAATCACAGTGTGGGCATTTGTATGGTCTCTCACCTAAAACAAGGAATTAAGCACTCTTGTTAAGTAGATTGAAAACTAAAATGTTATTTTAATAGCAGAACGTTGTCTAAGAATAACAATGCTTCATTAGGGAGGCTGCTGTGGTTAAGCAAAAAAAAAAAAAAAGACTGTGTGGGACGACTATATGCAGTTACACACAGTAATATATAGAGGGCAGTGCTTGTCATCATATGCAACATCAGGTGTAGTCCCCAGTGCATTACTGTTAAATTAGGACATTCCATCTCTCATCAACCGTGAGAGCACTGCCTTTTTTTTTTTTGGTAGAGGACATTTTGTGGATGAACCTGATAGGCAGCAAATGGTTTAAATCAAGCTAAATCATGAAATTTATCATACAGGGGTGTGAATTTTTTAAATGAATAAAAAAGTACTTACATAATAATAATAATAATAATAATAATAGTAACCAACAGAGCAATCATCATAATTTCTGTGAGATGTTTACAGCAAAAATGCTTTATCTAATGGACACATAATTTAATACATCTAAGTAAAATAAAATTACAAAAGTGCAAAATATTTGAACATTACATGGATAAAAATAAATAAAAACAATTTTTATAGTATTTCCCAATCTGAGCTTAGTGTCTATGATGTATTTTGCTACAAGTGTTATCCACACATAATATCAAATTAACATTAGGAATTATTATGATTACGCACCATTGTTATACAGTAGGATCACTATAAAAATAATGTTGCTGTAGATTAATATTTAATCTAATATTATAAATCTTCATTTCTGTTTTATAGGTTTAGGGCAGGGGTTGGCAACCCGCAGCTCTTTCATCCCTCTGCGGTGGCTCCCTGCAGCATGGGCGTAGAATAGTCACGTCAAGTCAAGTCACCTTTATTTATATAGCGCTTTTAACAATACAGAGTATGCGGGGGGCACGTGTCCCCCCGACATTTAATAAAACCTAAACCCTTCCCCTGCACTTTTTCGGGCAAGTGTGTTCACGTAGAGGTTTTCAAGGGCCAGTGTGAATAAATCTAGATTTAAATTAAAAGAGACAAGATAGTCACATCATTTTGGATACGTTTTATTCATATCCAAAATGATGTGAACATTACTAAGCACTAAACACTCTCATGCAGTGTATGTTTCATTCATACTCGATGCCAGAGGGTGCTCTCGTGCAGAAAGTCCAAAACAGACTCATATAAGCAATAGTAACTTTTGACGTGCCAGAAATAACAAGCATAATCCTTAACTGATGAAACGTGATGACAATAAACTATTGTGACAATATGTTTTATGTGTGTTTTCCAAGTCTTCTTCAGGTAATAAATAAAGTATATGAATGATACCAAAACAGATATAAGCAATAGTAACTTTTGACGTGCCAGAAATAACAAGCATAATCCTTAACTGATGAAACGTGATGACAATAAACTATTGTGACAATATGTTTTATGTGTGTTTTCCAAGTCTTCTTCAGGTAATAAATAAAGTATATGAATGATACAGTGCTAATTGACATAGCATTTCTTACAGTACAGAAGCTATAAAATATATTGTCTGTTTTATTCTGTGATAAAAAAAAATGGAAAAA